AGCTCCGGAGCGGCCGCCGGCGCCGGCAGCAGGTGCGGGAGAACCTGCCCCAGCGACGGCCCCTGCGGAGCGGATTTCTCCAGGACGGCCAGCCCGGCCGAGCTGCTGGCGAGCAGGCCGTTGAGGACAGCCTTGGGCTTCCTCCCGCGCCTTTTTCCTATGTAGATGGTTCCTTTCTTGCTCACGTTGATCTGCTGGCCCAGTTTGGAACCGAACGTGGCCGCGAGCGTCGACACCGTGTTGTGGAGCTTGGATTGCACCTTCCCTTTGTTGTTTGGTTCCACCGTGCTGGAGAGAATCTGGTTCAGGAGCTTCTTGCGCTTCAACGTTTTCATTTTATTTATTTTGCGGATGATTGTTTTCATTAGCTGCCCGTTATTTCTCTTGGCAACTTTCCTGTCTGAGTCCACTTCCAGATCACTCATGCTACAAATATTGGGTTTTTGGACTTCTTCGGGCCCTCGTAGCTGGTCCTTTCGCTCAAAAAAATCCCCGCTTTGATGCGGGTCGCTTTCAGCCTCTATCTTGTTTGAATTATCTGTCGCAACAAAAGGCGCCACAGAAAGAATAGGTGGCTTCATTTTAATCGATGACCTGATCTGTCTTTTAGGTCTCCCTCGCTTTTTAGGGAAACTCTGGCCTGACAGGCTCTGTTTCAGGGAGGGAATTTCTACCTCAGGCTGCAAAACCGGCGGTTCCTGCTCTTCCTTGGACTGCACCGAGAAGACCTTGGACGCCGGGATTTTGAGAGTCCTTTTGGGGGGACCTTCGAGCTCCGGCATCTCCTTGGCCTTGGGCCTCCCTCTCTTGGGTTTGTAGAGGTCGGGCAGGAAGTCGTCCGCCAGGCACAGGCCCGAGGGCTGCTTGTGGGCGCCGTAGAACTTGGGCGGCTGCGCGTCGGCCTCGGCCAGCAGCGCGAGCGACGGCCCGCCCGCCTCGCTCAGCTTGGGCAGCTGCTGCTTCACGAACTCGTGCTCCGCGAACGGGGACGGGCCCATGGTTTTCAGGAATTTGGCCTGCTCCAAACTGCTGCCTGCTAGCGCGCTGTACGAAATGTTTTTAAAAAGCTCTGACCTTTCCAGCTCGAGACCCTTGGGAGGCCGGCAGGCGCTTCTCGACACCACTTTAGTCCATCGCGGCTTCCTTCCTTTCCTTTTCTTTAAAGGTTTTGACTGCTGACTGGCGCTCAGAGTTTTACTTCCTTGGCAGGATTTATCTGATGCACTTATTGCACCAATCTTTAGGAACTGCTTGCTACTAAACAAGCTTGTAAAACTAACTACTGAGGGGGTGACAGTCGCATGAATGCTCGTTTCAGCTGCCAAAATGTTTTTTTTTCCTATAGAGGGACTAGTTCTTGAGGTTTCTACATGAGTAGCTTTTGAATCACTTAAATCTTTATCAGCACCTTTAAAGTCAGTGCTCAGAGTGTGGTTCAACGTTCTGTTGATGTTCAGAAGGGTACTGTCAGAAGAAAACGGAGTTTTGCCAATCTGATCCGAAATACCTTCCAAGAGGTCTGCTGTGGAGCTTAAATGCAGGGAGTTTGACGCTAACTGCGAAGCTGCTGTCGAGAGGCTCCTGTTGGAAGCGGTAACAGACACCGTGGGCGACGGCGAGGGCAGGTTTCCCTCTCCGACCGCGCTGAACGGGGACTTGGCCGTGGACACCTCGGAGGCGCCTCCCGTCCTGAAGTCCGGGGACGTGCAGTACACGGGCGGCTGCTTCTCGTGCTTGGACGTTTCGTAGCCGCCCTTCTCGCTGCCCGAGTAGCCCTCCTGCGGAACGCACGTCCCCTCCTTGAACATCTCTTTGCCCACGTCGGCAATCTCTTTCCGAAGGGAGAACTTTTCGGCGCTGCTGTCTTTGTTCTGCCTTCCGGCGTGCTTCTCGAAGGCCTTGCTGCTGGGATGTTCCTTCAGGACGTCGGCAGCCTCGTGGCTGTCGTGGTGCGAGCTGCAGGGGAGCCGCAGCGGCTCCGGTGCGGGCGCCAGCGGCTCCGTGCCCAGCGCGTCCTTGCCCAGCAAGCCGGCCGGAGGGCCCATTCCCGCTGGCTTCTTCCCAGCGTCCCTGCTAACCAGTCCTGCCGGGCTGCTAATCCCTGGCACCTTCCTCCCGGGGTCCTTGTTGGCGGATCCCGTGGGACTGCTGAGCCCTGGGGTCTTCCTTCCGGAGTCTTTGTTAGGCAGGGCCGTCGCGCTGCCGCTCCCCGGCACCTTCCTCCCCGAATCCTTGTTAACCAGCCCTGGAGGACCGTGAACGCCCAGCAACTTCTTCCCGGCGTCCTTGCTCACCAGTCCTGCCGGAGCGCCAATCCCTACAGGTTTCTTCACAGGCTCCTTGTTGGTTAATCCGGTCGGAGTGCTGATCCCGGGCAGTTTCCTCCCCGCGTCTTTGCTGATCAACCCAACTGCAGAGCTGGCCACCGGCTGCTTCTTCCCGGAGTCCTTGCTAACTAACCCCGGCGGAGCGCTGAGCGTGGGCGGCCTCCTCCCGGAGTCCTTGTTGACCAGCCCGACCAACGGGCCCATCCCGGGTGGCTTCTTCCCCGAGTCCTTGTTCACCAGGACGGCTGCGCTCCCCAGCCCCAGCGGCTTCTTCCCCGAGTCCTTGTTCACCAACCCAACGGCAATCACTGACCCGGGCAGCTTCTTGACCAGCTCTTTATTAACTAACCCGCTTGCGGTTACGCTTCCGGGGAGCTTCTTCCCGGAGTCTTTAACCAAACCAGCTGCAGCTCCACTCCCCGGCTTCTTCTGCTTTGTTTTGGAAGACTTGGAAGGAGGGCAAGTTGCAATGAGTTGAGCCAATTTTTCCGTGACAGTTGTCGCTCCGTTAATTTGTGTTCTATCCTTTAAATCAGAATTATGGCTCCCGATTAGAGTCGGAGGCGGTGACTTTATATAATCTGTCATTTCAGACTGAAGCGGAGAAAGTTTCTTGGGTAAAGGGCTGGTTTCTATTTGCACGCCTTCCTCCACACGGAATTCAACTGCTGCGACGTCTCCGGCTTTCTTGTAAAACTTTGAAGGGTCCTAGAAGTTAATGAAAAGAAAAGATCTTCAGGAATAGAGGAGAGAGAACAAATAACAAAGTATCTTCATATGCTGAGGTTATTATACCTGCTTTTGCTAATAAGGTGCCTATATAAACACATATGGCATCAACCTGGTAATTTTAAAGCAACTATATTTCAATCGACTTGTTAAGGAGCTTTTTAAAATGCTAAGAAAACCCAACTCCCACCAGACTGTTTCGGATACGCGTTGGAACTGTCCTTAGCCCCCGGCTGGAGGGAATGGGAGAGTCCTCAGGAGATGATAACGCGTGCACGGAGCTGGGAAACCTTGTGGCAGGTCCTGTCTGAGGCTGCAAACAGTGTGGAGTGAAAGGCATCCTTGCCAAACCCAGGCAGCCCTGCGCAATGAAGGCAAATAAGTGCACAGCACTTGCTGCAATTAATTACAGTCAGCATTATGTTCATTATGTCTTACAAAAATGCAAGGAGGGTTGGCGAATATTCAATCATGCTGCAGAACGATACAACTAACTGGGGATTCGCTTGAAATTCCTGGATAAACGGCAAACTTTGGCGCTGCTGGGGAACGCGGGAGCAGGAGCAGGGCTCACGCAGGAGGCTGCGAGCCGGATTTCCCAGGACAGGGAGGTTTCACGGCGCGGAGGCCCCGGCCTCGGGGGACGGTGGCCACGGCCTCGCTGCGCAGCACCAGGAAAGCTGCAGCTCGGAGCGTTCCCGGCTCCGGAGCCGCCGTGGCGGAGGCAGAAGAGCTTGGCATTCAGCCCAGCTTTTCCAGGGCAGCTGCAACCTGATGTAAATGATGCCGGAGCTTCCCGTTTCGGGAGCCTCCCCCCGCAGCCGCCCTCCTTCTGCCCGGGGAGAGGGTCACGACGGGCCCTGGGGCCGCCCCGTGGGGCTGGGGACAGGCAGGGCTCGGCAGCCTTCACTGGGACGCACAGGGGAATGTGCTCTTTCCAAACGCACCTCGTTCCCGGGGAATAAAAACTCCAAGGTGCTTGGATGTTTCTATCAGCAGGTTACACTAAATCATTCCAAAAACACCACAGAAGCCAACAGGAATTGTCTGCTGCAAAGAGGCACTGGCTGTTACACTGCAGCATCGGGTCAGACTTTGGGCTTTATTTAAACCTCCCTCGTGTTCCTCTGACAAAGCGGGTATTTCCATTGGACAGCGCGTTCGCCATGGAGCTACCACGCCAAATCCCAGGGGATTTCCTTCGCATTTCCTTAGCTTTCTAACTTTCCAGGATGTGATGAAAACGCGTGTGGATGTGTGGACTAAGTGATATTTTTAAATACATTCACCCCTTCTTATTTTAGCTGCTGTTTTCCACCCCGCGCAGTGTCTAAGACAAACGAGCAGCACGAGGGAGCCCAGGAGCCTCCCCGTGTCCGTGCGGTGCTGCTGGCAGCGCGTCCTGCCAAACAACGGGTGGAAACGTCCCTCCAACCCCAGCACCTGCAAGGTTCTCCTCACAGCAAGCACTACCTGCCAGGAACGGCTGTGCAGGCAGCCCGAGGGAGAACGGCAAAATAAGGACCATGGCCCCGGACCTGCACAGAACGCTCCTGTTTGCGACATGTTCAGCTTAGCTAGAAAGAGAAATCAATACATAAAGAGACTTCTGTAGCTTTGGCACTGTTTTGCTTGAAATTTTTCAATTAGCGGCTCGGATTCCATGAGCAGACTTTCCTGCACGGCTCGCCTGCATAACCGGGGGCGACGGAAAGGACTACAGAAAATCAGAACTCAGCAGTTTTACCCAGGAATCAGGAGATGGAGCAAAAGAGCAGGTTCCTTCCTGCCGCACGCTTTGCCCGGGAATCTTTTGGAATTACGGCACAGACTGTTACTATCACTTCTTGCCCTATTTGCTAAAGCTTCAGTAGTGCCACTGCCAGGGGCTGTATTTACCACGCACGCAGAGCTGGACCACACGCACACCTCTGGTGCCAACAGAGCATTTGTATTTATTTATTTATTTTATGTATTTATTTATTATCTAGGCACTTTCAAGCCTAGAAAGATGCACAAGGGCCGTGCGGTACTGTCTGTTTGGACACACTTCTGGGAGAAAAAAAAAAATAAAAGAAAAGAAAAACCAATTTAACACTCAGTGTTAAGGACAAATTCAACGCTGTTTTGCTAGTACAGTAATTTCTAATTCTGTTTCTCTAAGCACCTGGGAACCTTAGCCATTTCTAGGTCTCTGTGCTGTAATGTTCTCTGCAGAAGACTATTAACTTCATTGCAAAAGAAAAAGGGTTCTTCCATTTATCCTATTTTCCCTATCTGTAATAGCTGCTCTTACTTGTCACATCATGCATATCATAAACGAGACATCCTCAAGGGCAGGGCTATCTCCTTACATGTGGAAAACACCTTTCTTCTGCACAGGAGACTAAAAATTGTACTATTACTTTTCAAGCCTTTACACAAATATTCAATCGACATCAACACAGAAACGATTCCTCCCTCATTGCTGGAAAAAAAAGTCGCTAAGACATGAGAGAGCTTTTGGGGTTTGTTTTTTTTGCTGCTCAAGCTGAAATCATTTCTAACTTTGGCATCTGCAGTGTTAGAAGTTACATGAAAAGCAGCCAGTGGAATACGCCCGTGCAGGAGGTCAGATTCTTTTAGGCTGGAGTTTGGAGGGGCCGGATGGGTTGGGAACGCGCTACTCACTTGCTTGGAAGGACCATGGTCACTCTTCTCGTCCGTCATCTTCCCGCTCTTGGGTGCCCTGCGGGGTTGCTTGATGCTGGTTTTTATGGCAGGCCGGCACACATAGTTCTCAAGGTTCTTCGGGGGCTTCTTCGTTCTCTTGGCTTGAAGCCCAATCTTGAGTTTCAGGTTTCCCTCTGAAAAGTTTGTTTCCTTCACGGAGAACTGCTGCTGCGCATCACTTAGGGCCTCATTCTTCCCGTTCTCCGCACCGTTGCCCTCCCGATTCTTCTTCTTACCGTCGTCGTCTTCCTGGGCGCAACTTTCCAGCTCTGCTTCTCCTTTTCCCACCAACGGGCCAACGTTTGCTACAGAGGGGCTCTTCCCAGAAAACCCTTCAGAATCAGAACCCAAGCCTAACATAGCAGTATTCCGAGGGTCCATCACAGGCCTTCGGGGAATTCTGAGGAAGATTTCACAGAGATGCGTTCCACACTCGATCTGTTCTGGTACTGGCAGCCAGCATCTTCTACTCTGTGGAAGGAAAAGAAAAACAAAAGTCAGCTGCAAATTTACAGCAGAGATAAATGTTAAAATTGGACACTTAAACACTGATGTGAATTTTTAACATAATCCTGAAGGAACATTTTTGCTCGAGTTGGAGCCCAGCAGCTCTGAGCGCTGCCACTCTCCTGGACCCTCCAATGCCAGAGGGCACGAAACCCAATTTCCCCCGTGCATTTTCAGCAGCGACTTGAAAGAAAACCACAAACACCCCAGAAATGTGTGGAAGATAAAGACAGGGCGTCCTGCACCCGCCGAAGGGGACAGGTGACAGGTTGCTGTACAAGGCACGAGGTGAATGGGTGGATACCAGAGCACGATGGAGGAGAAAGGACCAGAAATATCTAGAGAAGGCAGCGACGCTCGAAGGGCTTCGTGCCCAGGACGGCCTGGCGGAACGCGGGAGCTGCAGCACATGGTCCTCGCGCCACGAGGAGGGAGCCGGAGTCACCGCTTTTGTCACCGCGGCGGTGACACCCGGCCCAGGTGCCCTGCAGGTGCGACCCAGCCGCGCCGGGTGGAGCAGAGCCCTCTCTGCACGCAAATACATGAGAAGCAGGTCCCAAAACCCCAGCAGGGCCACCGGGACGTCACCGCAGCCCCCTCAGCGCAGGCTCCTGCTCTTATCTTCTGATAAGGCTACATGACGGGCAGGGTGCTGAAAGGCCCCAGCCAGCTGCGTTTCGGTTCCCTCACGCACACATCTGCTGAACAGAAATCTGCCCTCCTGCGCTAACGGCCAAACGAGCCATCCTGAGGCCGCTGCTTGCAGGTTTGCATACGGGATCCTTATAAATAACCATGAGGAAAGCCACAGCACGCTGCATTTTTAAGGAGTAAGACTACTCGCTCTTGCATGCCAACCATCAATTATTAGGAGCTCCTCAGCCGGTTTCGACCCAATTTTGCAGAGGTGGATGCAGGCGCTCGGAGCAGACAGGGTTCAGGAGAATCGGTGGCTCACATGAGGCCGAGATCCGCGTTCCCATCCTCCCGGAAGGGAAGGGAGCCGGGAGCTCCGGCAGGCAGCTCATGGCACCCACGCACCGGCCCCGCGGCCACGGGAGCCCCAGGGATTTCTAGCTGCAGTTGGGACTTTTCAACCAAGAACACCCTGCAGAACCGCAGAGGGGGGTTGTTACGCGGCGGAATCAGTTTCACAACCCAAATCCAAGGAGAGGAGCAAACCCTCCGGGCAGCACCAGGGTCCGCTCTGCTGCACTGGGGCTGCGGCGGGGGCGTTTTGGGAAGGGAAGGGCTGCACGTGCACACAGACTGCGAGGCTAAAGGAGAGCGCACGAAAACCTCCCCCTGCGCCAACGCGGGACTAGGAGCCATCCTGGCAGCCAAGTCACCAAATCGGGGCTCTCATGAACATGCACCAGGTCATTTTATTTATCCATTAATTCCTCTCTAGACAGACAACAAAAATGCTAATCCTGAAACTAATCATCGTTTTGCCTCAATTACTGTAATCTTCTTCTCTCTGGCTCTCCAATTACCCCACTCCAAATCACAGAGCACGTGCCTGCCAAATGGATCATTTCACAGCCGGAGCTGCTGAGGGCTCCTCTCGCTGCAGCCGGGATGCTTCCCGTGCCCAACCTGCAGCCGGGATGCTTCCCGTGTCCAACCTGCAGCCGGGATGCTTCCCGTGTCCAACCTGCAGCCGGGATGCTTCCCGTGTCCAACCTGCAGCCGGGATGCTTCCCGTGTCCAACCTGCAGCCGGGATGCTTCCCGTGTCCAACCTGCAGCCGGGATGCTTCCCGTGTCCAACCTGCAGCCGGGATGCTTCCCGTGTCCAACCTGCAGCCGGGATGCTTCCCGTGTCCAACCTGCAGCCGGGATGCTTCCCGTGTCCAACCTGCAGCCGGGATGCTTCCCGTGTCCAACCTGCAGCCGGGATGCTTCCCGTGTCCAACCTGCAGCCGGGATGCTTCCCGTGTCCAACCTGCAGCCGGGATGCTTCCCGTGTCCAACCTGCAGCCGGGATGCTTCCCGTGTCCAACCTGCAGCCGGGATGCTTCCCGTGTCCAACCTGCAGCCGGGATGCTTCCCGTGTCCAACCTGCAGCCGGGATGCTTCCCGTGTCCAACCTGCAGCCGGGATGCTTCCCGTGTCCAACCTGCAGCCGGGATGCTTCCCGTGTCCAACCTGCAGCCGGGATGCTTCCCGTGTCCAACCTGCAGCCGGGATGCTTCCCGTGTCCAACCTGCAGCCGGGATGCTTCCCGTGTCCAACCTGCAGCCGGGATGCTTCCCGTGTCCAACCTGCAGCCGGGATGCTTCCCGTGTCCAACCTGCAGCCGGGATGCTTCCCGTGTCCAACCTGCAGCCGGGATGCTTCCCGTGTCCAACCTGCAGCCGGGATGCTTCCCGTGTCCAACCTGCAGCCGGGATGCTTCCCGTGTCCAACCTGCAGCCGGGATGCTTCCCGTGTCCAACCTGCAGCCGGGATGCTTCCCGTGTCCAACCTGCAGCCGGGATGCTTCCCGTGTCCAACCTGCAGCCGGGATGCTTCCCGTGTCCAACCTGCAGCCGGGATGCTTCCCGTGTCCAACCTGCAGCCGGGATGCTTCCCGTGTCCAACCTGCAGCCGGGATGCTTCCCGTGTCCAACCTGCAGCCGGGATGCTTCCCGTGTCCAACCTGCAGCCGGGATGCTTCCCATGTCCAACCTGCAGCCGTTCCGCTCGGGCTCACGGAGCGGCCCCTTGTCTCTCCAGGTGCTCCTGCACCTCGGGGCTTTGTTTCACCTGCACCGGCTGCTCCGTGGTTTTCTTTTCCACTGCTTTTTCTCACTACTCTTTGCAAGCAAAGCCCAGGCCTTCCTCCTCGTCCTCGTGCTGCTGCTGGACGATGTCGTCAGGGGCTCAACCAACGTGCTCGGAACAGCCCGAGCCCTGCTCCTGTCAGGACCCACAACCGCTGTGTCCATGCGACGATGTGACCTGCGTTCCTGCGCTTGCTCCGCTAACCGCTCCGCGGGCCCCGGCGGGTCTGTCCAAGGGCCTCGCTCAATCTTGAAGTCAAAAGCGGTGGAAAAGAAACTGCCCTTTCCCTCGGGAACCTGTTCCAGGAGCTAATCCCTCTTTTCCAACGACTTTCACCCATCAGATCTCACGCTACCTTCAGTTCCGCTGGATTAGGCACTCTCTAGTACCAGATCTCTCCAGAATCGTACAAGTTACGAGCACGACGCATCCGAACGCCCGCCCTGATAACCGAACACACAGAAACTCCAGCCTCTCTCCGGTAGGTTCAGGAGGCCTGGAATTACTCCTGTAAGATTTAGGAAGAGAAAAAGCAGGGAGCACTTTACCAGCGCTACCTCGAGCTCAATGGCGTGCGTTAATGGTTATTCTAGTGCCATGCACAGTGTTTTAACTCCTATTATTCATTCTTATTCCCCCGTTGACACATCCAAAGCCCCATTTGCCCATCATCAGCTATGATTTCTGCTCTCCAGATTCCCTGCTTTTCCAGAATAAATGCCAGGGGTTGACCTATGCTGTCAGCTCCCAGATATATGATTTTTCCCCCCATTAGCAGTATTAAATGAGTTTTTTTTCCCCTCTACCCAGTTCACTATGAGCGCCTCATTTCTGCTACTACTTGCGCTGAATCCTGCAATTCTGCATTTTGAAGTTAAGCATTTTTCAGTTGTAAAAAGAAGAGTCTCTCTGCAACAATATGGTATCTTTGACTTATAATGAAGTTTTCCCCACAGCTCCATGTTCAGGGGTCATTAAAAACAAAACGAGCAGTGTCTGACGTCCCAGAACGTAACTGGTACCCACACGTCCCGCCACGTTTCCTTCGAATCTTCTCATCTCTCACCCTAACCCGAGAGTTTGCAAACACAACACTCAATTTGGACTCCCTGGATCATCGCTCTAACTTCTCCTACACATTCACATGCAAAGGCCAAATGTGGCACAATAATGACTGCATTTGGTAGGACTAAAGGCTCATTATACAAAAAGAAATAAGGAAAGGCACCTAAAGGATGCAGTGATAACTCCCCTGAAGCTCTCCCAGCCTCTCCAGCCACGATCCAGGGCCTTCCTGAGGGACAAATCCTCACCCTCGACAGCTCTCAATGGCTTTTCCTGACCTCCAACTCTATTATTTACACCCAACCAACAACAGAAAGCACAAAGACAACAGCAAACCAGCATCTCTCCTTACATTTTGTTCGAAAACTATGAGATAAGCAGCACAATCTCTGCGGTGGAAGGGATGGGGCCACAATGGCAGGAGGAAGGAGGAAAGCGGCGGGAGGAGGTTACAGCCCAAAACCTGCACCTTGTCTGGCAACGAGGCCACCTGAACAGCAGCCCTACGTGGTACCGCTGCCTTCCTCCCGCAATAACAACACTGCGATCGATAGCCACGACCCCGAGCCCTCTCTGCGCCCTCCTGGCTGCTTTAGACTTCTCCTTTCGGCAAGTCGTGACTAAATCATTTTGCTACCGCTGCAACACGGAGCGTTTCTCAGGTGACTCGATTGCCTTTAGCAATCAAACGCAGAGTGCAAAAATGGAATTGGAAGTGGTTTTATCTTTAAACCCAGGAAATATTACAGGAAAAGGAACTGATCTGTACAGCTTGGAAGAGCTACAGAGGTGGCAGGGGAGGTTTCTGGAGCTACGCAGGGGCAGAGATGAGCGCGGGGACCGCAGGGCTCCCCATTCGCGCAAAGGCAGGATGACGGCTCCAAAAGTCTTCCCGGCTTCACCCCCAAAGCTACGAGCTCCCCAACTCCTGGAAAAGAAAATCACTCTTGCAAGCACAGCCTACACCAAGGCAAGGCAAAATAAACCCCAAAAAGCAGATTAGACAGCAAATAAGGTGGGGAGAAGGTGCACGCTCTCGAGAAGGTCTATTTAAACGCAGGCCGTGCTGTCCAAAGACCCAAGCGTCGCTGCCCGCGGCCCCAGGCCGAGCGCCAGGAGCTCGGGTTTCCCGCTCGCCCGGGAGCGCCAACGCGTGTC